CAGGACTTTTTGTTTCGAGGTAATATATACACTGTACACGATTAAAGTTTAAAGATCATTATATAAATGCAAGACGGAGAAAACATAAAATAAAGTTTCTTTGCGAACTGATTGCAAAATTAGAAATGTCGAAACGACGAAAAAGGACCCGGATGATGACCTCAACAACCAGCTGCATACTCTCGACATCACAGCGCTATCGAGCGACTGACATTTTCCATTTTTTTCTTCCCCCGAGATAAATGACCAATGTTTTTACTTATTTAAAGGCGATTTTTTTATACGTGAATTTTTAAAGCGTCGTTTTAGGTCGGTGTCGGTAGACGAAATGCACGGTGCGAAAATGATGCTAATTCGGGACGAGAGGGGGAGCGCGTTGGAAAGTAATTAGAATATAAGAAGCGATTTTAATCATTTTTCTGATAACTGTGTCTTAAATTAAGACAGCATCGGGCAAAATGAATAGAACCTTCGTACATAAGTTAATGTAAATACTAATAAATATTTAAAAAGTATTTTCTTGTATTTCCACGACAGAAAGATTCTATGCGATTGGATATTGATGAATCGAAAATCGAATTTCCATTCATCGCTGCATCGGTCTTTCTATCAAATGTAATAAATCATTATATTAACATTCGTAAGATCTAAATAAAGAATATTAACAAACGTTCATTCAAGTACACCGAGTTAATTCAATTTTCCTTCTTGAAAATAAAAATATTCAATATAAATATATATTATTTTTTATTATAAAAACCCAGATATAATCGTAGAAAAGATGGACTTTTAAAATGTTTCGGTAGAATTCTGAATGACATTTGCAACTTCGGGCGCCGGTGCAATAGCCATTTACAATTTCGCAAATTACTGGAGGCCATATTGGCAATAAAGTCGAAAATAGGCGGCCGGATGGCCGAGCGCTCGAGGTGGCAACCTACCGCTCTGGGGCACCCGGGATCGAATCCGAACGGCTCCGTTCGGATATGTCGGGCCCCGTCCCTCACCACCCGGCAGCCCCATTGTGGGCTTGGCCGAACCATAATAGGCTTGTGCCCACAGGGAGGAAGGAGTTAAAAAAAAGTCGAAAATCTAAATATGAAATGAAAAAAATCCCTAATCCGTGCCGCTCGTCATAATTATACGTGTTTAGATTATATTTGAATTCAGATTTTCCAGCTATCCACTCGCTTTACGTCACAATTTAGCAGGGGCGTGCCGTGACATTTGATGATAGGGAAGCTGTGTTTATATAAGAAGCCGACATCCAGGGGCAATCAGTTAATTCTTTCTTTATGACCATGACCATATGCCCTCTAAATGCCAATTCTTGCTTTGATAAAAACATATAACATCTATTTATTTAAATACCCGCTTACCCGTCGCGCATTGCTGCGATCTCAGAAGAAACGAAATTCAAGCAAACTCGTTATGATAAAATTCAATTTACATTTCATCATTTTTATCGAAACTTATTATTATTATTCATTTTCATCGGGAAAACATTTCAAAGTGTCGTTTCAATTCTGTTTATTTATTGGAGTGCTTGTGGATACACGATATGTTTTGTTTCTCCGTCTGGTGCGTACACGAATAAATCGGAAGGTTTTCCGACGCGTTAGCCGNGAGATTACACTCCGTCACTAATATTCTAATATACAATAGCAATTTTTTTTTTTGTTTTTTTCCACGTGTAGTATAGAAAATTATAATAAGATACATAATGCGGTTATAATAAAATATTGTGCGATTATTTTCATATAATTAAAATTAATATTTATTTATTTTTTTAGAAAATACGAGGGAAGCGGCGCTTCCAACGCTTCTAATGACGGCACGCCACTGTAATTTAGCCCAACAAAGGCCGTGTAGTATAGAATCCACCCAGGGACTAATAGGGCTTAAGCCCAGGACCCACAAAAATTGAATTATTATCGTAAATTTTTAATGTTTTTTTATTAACAACGAGCACTTATCGTATAGTAAAAAATAGTTACCGTAATATTAATAATATAATAATAATGATAATTTATAGTATTATTTGTATTAACAAAAAATGGGGCCTCATTGGACTTGGATAAGCCGTAGGTCCCGAAAAACCTAGATCCGTCCCCGCTTCGACCACACGATACTTTCGACACATTCGTGTTTCTACCCACGTAACTAAAAGTAGGCGCTTAATTCATTTTGACTGGAAATACTTTCGTTATAACCATACATCTGGTAGAGAGCGCGGTCCATAGATTTTAGGACAGGAATTTTAAAATATCGGAAATACAAAAGGAAGATAATGCATATTTTTTTATTTAAAGTCCGATCCATTGGTATGCATGTAGGCTTTAGCGCAATAGTACAATTTTCAGAGATCTGCAGAAAATTTCCGTTTTCTGATTGTCTTTTAATTCGTCGATCATAGATTTTTTGGTAGAAGAAACATCCGTAAACATTGGTGCTTCAATTTCGACTCGGGAAATAGAAAATAGTCAAAGGAGACATATCCGGTAAGAGAATGATAAAAGGTGAAGATTCTTTTTTGTGTCAAAATGGATGGATTGATGGAATAAGGCAACACCACTCTCGGGCGATCTTCCAAAGAAAGGTGCCTCCCGGGAGGACTGGTCCCTATTTAAGTATTAGCAACTAAATTGCGGCTAGGTTCCCATAAAAGTCCTCTCGGAAGCGCTCTCCTCGAAAGATCGCCCACGTTTTGCGTTGCCTTCTATCGTCGATTCAATCATTCCCATAATGATTTTCTTAAACATCGCTAAAACTGTTGTTTTTCACATTTTGAGTGAATATTTGAGGAAATGTGCGCTGGTTTTGTCCCATACGCTTTGACGGCTGAGCAAGATATCATTGCGATAGTGATTCGAAAGAAAATTTCTTTTAAAGATTCGGCTATCACCCGCGGTCAATCGTTCTTCATCGACTCACCGAAAGTGGCAACGCTTTCTTTCGTTCGGGTCGACGCGATACGGCCGCAGCCCTCGTCGTCTGCCGATTCCATTCCGTCGCAAAACCGCGAATAAAATCTAAAGACGTTAGGGCACTTGGCAACCTAATTACCGCGTATCTCGTACTACGGGGTGAGTCGTAAGTCTCCATACGAATGGTGAAAGCGGTGACTAATTTCTTTTTCGTTTTGGGGAAGGTGAACCGATTGAAAAGAAATGACTAACGAAGGGAGAACGGATTGGCATTATTCTGTTGCCATCATACGATACCATTTGCGCCGATAAAATAAGCACTAGTTACCACTTTCGCTACTTGTATCGAGACTTACGACTCACTCTATTTTTAGGATTTCTGTAGTAGAAAGATTCATTTTAAAAACAAACTTTATCTCAATTCTACTGTACTGTACGTTCACTTTTCGAATCCACGGCTTACGCTAGACTACTTTTATTTTGACTCTCAGTCGATGGCGAGACAACGATTTAGAGACGGCGTAGACCGCGGTTCAGAAAAGTTTTCTCGCTTGCCACAGTTTCAACAGCGATTAGAAACAAGTTATTCGAGCTAATTTCTAGACTCTCTCCATAGCGTTTTAGTCGAGTAGGAGTCGCCGTATTCATTCGTTGGTCACAAAGTTTGTGTTATAATGGATATTGTTCATTTATTAAATATTGTAAACGGGACGAACGAAGAAAATGATTGGCGTCGACGATTACGAAGAGAGAAAGGGTAATACGAGATCGGAATAATCCTTTATCAATCTATTCCCGAGACGAGATTTTCTAAATTAAATTTTACGTAAATACACAAGGCGTCATTTCGGTTTTTATTTTTTGCCGTTTCATTATAATTATTAATTATATTTAGAGAAGGAATAAACTTTTAATTTCTATTGTTTATATTTCTTCGAGTTGTAATTTACGATACTTTTAATAGTCGACGACAAAAATTCATTATTAACGTTTCAATTCACAACTAATTTTAAAAAGTTTGAATATTTTTTACAGCCGAGTGGGGAAAACTCAGGCAGTTCGAATTTAATTTAGTTTTCTATTAAAAACCAAAGAAAATTGATTTTATATTTATTAATGTTTTAAAATCTTTTTGTATTTTGTTACATTTCATTTATTTTAAATACAAAACGCAACAATTTAATCGATGACCGTAAATGTGTAGTTTTCTTTGTAGTATTTGCGTTTAGTGGTTAAATTGTTTTGACTTAATTGAATTTGAATATTTTCGAATCGTTCTTTATTATCCCCTCTCTAAACGAATAGCCTACTCTCTTCGCAGTATATACAGTATTTTCCTTTTCTGTCAAGTAGCCGGATCGCGCACTAACTTTTCTCGGAAGGTGAAATTGAAGCGCGAATGTTGTAGAATAAAGATACGTACTGTACGGGTCGAATTTTATCGCCTCCCTTTCTCCTCTTATTAAATATTTGTTAAAAATTAATTTTTTATATAAAAAAAATATATTAATGCGAGCTAAATATTACAAATACTGATTATAAAACTATTTAGGTAAATGACCGGGGCTCCTTTCGGAGTAGGTACCCCCTTCGAGCGCCTCTCCCCCTATAAAATGACTTGGTTTTTAATTTTGCCGGAGTCGAGTGCCAAAGTACAATCGGAGTTGAATTTATCGTTCGTGGTGTTAATTCTCAACAAAAAGGAAAGACGGAAGCCGATTTCTGACCTAAATTATCCGTGAAAAATGACGAGGACTTAAATCGAACCTGATAAATTTTAAAAGACCAAATCGGACTCGACTAGAATAACCTACATTTTAGAAATACAAATTGGATTCTCTAACGATTTGGAACAGCATCCACTCAAAATCCTTATTTTATAACTTAGAATGATCGTCCAATTCTCTCTAGCTAAAGGTACTGTAGAGTACGTGAAATAATTAGTATGCATTTCTGCACGGGTGTCGTCACCGATAACGTACGCAATATTTTTATGACGTCGACGTTCGTATTATTATATGTACATATAATAATACTATTCGTATTATTATATGATTACTATAAATACGACAGGCGGCATCAAATATATAACATTGTGAGTACCGTACTTTGATTCTTTATTTCTCCTTTAAAAATGTAATTATACTAATTAATTTATGCTACGTAAGGACTTTTTATAAATTTAATATAATATTCACAATTTATTCTCCCGAAAACATAAAAATGTTTTAAAATGCAAAAGAGGTCGACATATAAAAAGTCAAATTATCTTTTAGCGTACGAAAAAAGACTTTTATATACAGGCACTCGGAGCCTCTCGAATTCCGTTTTAATATTATAATATAAACCTTTTTGAGCTTCGGAGTATATAAAAACAACGAAATAGAGTTATTTTTATAACGAAATTGTATTATATTATTTTAAATAATAAAATGTTTAAAAAATAAATTTGTGCCTTAATGCAACGGAATAAATCATTTATAACAAACGCTTTCGAGGTATTAATAAATGGAAGACGGGACAAATGGGTCGTCGACCCTCCCGAAATAGGACCTGTGTAAATCTTATAAATAAGGACTTATATATATAAATCCTTAAGTCCAGCGACGGTAATTACCACCGAACACTGGTAATTATTCGTGGGTCCACTCTCCAGCAACGGGCTGGACACGCGTAATTTTCTGGAATTTTCTTCAGGTGTCTAACGCATTAATAGAGGCCATTTTCCGATAGAAAGACCTTTCGAGAGGCATCCCCTCGATACATCGTCCGCGCGTTATCGTGTCGCCGTATTCCAAAAAACCAATAAACCCTTAAAAATCATTTACAAATACGTATATGTACTATAACTATAAAGAATTCTTACTCTTTCCACCTCGTGGGCGCTAAGAGGGCCTTTTTAATCATATCTGTTACGGGCTAAGCCAGGCCGGCAATGGGGGCGGCCGAATGGTGAAGGAAGGAGCCCGATTTATCGAAAAAGAACGCCGGTGGAAGAATTTTGGGTGATTGCTCGCCCAGTTTTGAACCTGGATCCCGATCCCCCAGTCGGCTCACTGCCGATTGCTGCTAATTGGGACGAGCCGAGACGACCGAGGAAGACACTTACCTCTTTCGGACCGCGTTATCCGTCGTGCTTTTTTTTAATTTGTATAATTTTTAAATTAAAAATAATTTTAATATTTTAATACGTACTGTACAGGCTTAAAATAATAATTTCTTTATATATTATTTATTAAATTTATGTAAATTAAATCGACTGTAAAATAAACGATTTAATTAAAAAAGCATTTGTATAAATAATGAAAAGGAACATCGTTACGCCATATCCTGTCTGGTTTTTCCGTTTTAATTGTTTACTCGGAAAATAATTTAAAAAGATTAATGTTTATATTCTTTACAAGAAAATATAAACAACCAGCATCCTTTAACGCACTCATTTTCGTTTTTCGGATAGATTAGCTTTAAAAAATACCTCAAAAACGGGTAATATATTTTTCATTATCGGGCACTCCGCCCGATACGCTTATACGATCTGCACGACATTACGGGACGTGGCCCGTCGCAATACGGACCGATAAAACTAGGCTCTCAAAAATATTTATTACAAATTATGAAGACGTTGGGCCCTCGAAGAAGTAAGCCACCTCTTTTAACGTCTCGGCTCGTTCCAATCTAATTCCCGCTCTCTCCTATTTACTAACACGAAGAAAGCCCGTTGGCGACCGGCGTTCGGTGGTTTTATCCACTCGGCCACGGGCGGATTCGTCGTTACCTAGGGCAACAAAAGAAAAGAATTAAAAAAAAAAAGTTTGTTGCGAACTTTGACCGCGACGTCAGAATCTACAAAATAAAATAATTGGCTCGCGTGGGGTAGAGGCCACGGCCTTCCCGTTATTAGCGCGACGCTCTAACCGACCGAACTAACTTCGAGACGTATTTTTACAGTCTTCGAGAATATATTAGAGATCAGATCGACACTTACGATGCATCCAACGATCTAGTTATATGGGGTCCTTGTTATATCCACGAATTCCGCTATAATTACCCCTCGAGCGTGTATTAAGCTGGAAGACGAAAGCGGAATGAACTGGAACCAAATTGAAAATGAAGTGATAATTTAAAAATTGATCGTTTTTTACCACAGTTTGGGTGAATTTATGACAATTAAGCCACGTTCGTTTACGGCATTTAGAGGAACAAAATAGCTAATTGTTAAGTACTCGATATATGATTTCATTCAATAATTGCTCTCGAATAAAGTTATTTCTTTTATTAAAATGCAAAAATGCAGCGATGTTTTATAATTAAAATATTATAATATATTTAAATTCGATTTTCGATTGAATTCAAAACTTTTAGCTATTTAGTTTGTATTTACAGTTGGTTTTTCAATAAAACGAGCAATTATTTATCGTGACGCGGCCAAAATACCGAGCTGCGATTTTTAATCATATTTTTTAAATTTATTTAATTTAAAATATATGCTCTCCACTTCAAATTAGTAGTGTCTTTCCCCGTACATAATACTTTTCCCGTTAGCGAGCCTCGCGAGCATTGCGGGCCTGGCCGTTTGCTAAAAAAGCCCCTCTTAGTGCCCACACGACGGAAAGTTTTTTAATTAAAAAAGAGAGGTACTTTTGTGTAGTTTATGTCGTTGGAAAACGTGTTTTCAATTCGGAACACAATATATTTTTATTTATAATAAAACATTTAACAGTTTTCTTTTTGATACAGATGGACCCAGCCGACTTCCATCACGACATTCGTTATTCAAGAAGTGAAAACTCGCGGTACCCTCTCAGATACCAATCGCTGTTTGGCATCTCTTTACTTCTAACTATTATTGCATCCTTCTTTTTGTTATCGAGATTATTCTCAGATAGTCCAATATTTTTATTAATGGGCTTGATTATTCTTGGATTCGCAGTTATTATAGTGCTGATGGCGATAATATGGTATTGTTTAGAAAAACTGAATCGTTACGTCTACAAGAGGCAACGAGTCCAGAGGAATTTTGTTCGGTCTCTTCCACCGTATTCGAATCGTTTTCAACCCGCTCTACCCTCACCCAGTTTTAACAATATTCCATCTGTGCCTAGACTCGTCGATCGATCGCATTCCGACATTAATGACGATCTACCACCTTCTTACGATAGTATTACGCGAAGCCATATGCCTGCAATTGTACATTACGGTAAAGCGGAACAATCTGTCACATTTCATTCCCCCTCTAATATATAATCTACCAATAGCACGGAAGTTGGTTCCACTTCTAGCACACCCTCATAAATCATACATCAGTTAATAAATTAACATTTCTTTTATTAACGATCGAATCGTCTTTCTTAATACTGTATAAAATTCTAAAGCCCTTAGTTTTAGTGCCGCAGAGCGAAGAGTCGAGAAGAGCACCTAAACGCATTACGTTTTTAAATATCATCGTAATTACTGTATCGCCGCGAGTTAAGTTATTCTTCTACCGGCGTATCGAATCTGGATTCGATTTCTGTTTATAACTTTACATGGGTATTTCGAATGAGAGAATCACGCCGACTATAGTCAAAACAGCGAAAGAGTAGACACCAATCAGCCTGAGCTGGAAGGGTCTATATCAGCGGCGTACCCAGGGATTGAACTAGAAGGGGGCAACTCCTATTAGTTTGGAGGAAGTGGGGGGAAGTGAGATTTCACCACAGATGGCTCTAGTCTAGTCACAATATATATTGATATTATTCAAACTGTGCTGCGTGTCAATTACTACACTAACAAGTAAGTTTTCTTCTTCGCCGTTGGTCTACGTCAAACGAAAAAGATGGAACGAGATTGAAATCGGGTTCTTCCCGAGCCCAACAGTGTTTTCTCACTTTAAACAACCTCAAAAATCTCTAAAGAGAGAGAGAATTCAATAATTTTATATTCATAAAATAACAATTGATTATAGTTAGAATATAAAACCTTTTAACCTTTCTATTTTAAGTAATTAAAGAATAAACCAGTCGACTATTCGTCACGCAACATCCGTAAAGTATGAAATATTTCTAATTTTTAATTTAAATGAGGATCTGCGAATTTATAAAATCTATTGTAGAGAGAAGTAACGATGTAAGAAGGAATAATGATAATTAAATCGTCGAATCGAGTTACGGTCTACTGTTTCCTTTGTTTTCACCATTAGCACCGAGCTTATGGCGCCAAGGGAGCCAGAAACGTCGGCCAACTCCCGCTCCAGACTAAACGGATGCGCCGTTTGTGGGCATTTACGAGTCTATGTAAACTGAACCGGAAGGAAGATGCTAAAATGGAGTGCGTCCAATCCTCCCAAATCTATAACGAGAAAAAGGAAGCCAATTAGGGAAAGAAAACTTTCCGAAGAAACAAAAAAACTAATGGAAAGATTATTTAATTGCCGAAATAGTTCTTTTTTCATCCGATATAAACATTACCGTTTTCTTTTATAAAATGGCTATTGAAAATCTTGCGTGTTTTTGCCAGGAATGTTGTATAGTACGAAAAAATAATTATTTTAACATGTACTAGAGGGCGTTATTTACAAATTGCCACGAGGCGCGGTTCCTTTGACTTTTTTGTTCCTATCGATACGCTCTACAGCTCCGTCCAAGTCCCAATCGCGTCATACGGACCTATTAAACATTCTATAAAACCTTAAAATAGTTTGATTTATTTATTTACCTTCGCTCGTAAACCTCGATTTTAAATGTATCCGCCATTTTTTCGACAAATTTCCCGCCAGTCGATGCGCGACGTTCACCGAGTCACGGGATGTCGTAAACGCGCGGCGCCAGGTTAATCGAGGCGTATAATAATTATTTATACCATTCCGTGGTATAAATAATAAATTCCTATTACAAATAAAAATAATTTATTGTTAATTTAAAATCGTCTCTAGGACGCCCCTAGCGGGCGTTTTAGGCAATGGATACCGTTACAGACGCGAGATTTCTGGTAGTGTCTTCCGTGATAGAAGAAACGATCGAATAAAACGATGATAATACTTTAGATAAATGAGACTACGACTGCGGGTAAACATTTTACTGTATTTACATTTAAAACAGTTTTAGACCCACTTTTATTCTGTAATGTTTTATATAAGTTCAACTTTAGCTGTATAAGATTTCAAAGATATATATAGACTAAATTTTTTTAAAAAATTTTACATACAAAATCTGACACAAAAGCAAGAAGGGTAATTATACAGTTTAAGGGAATATGAGATTTTTATTTATTTTATTATAAAAAGAATGCATACTTAATAGGCATTCAGAAACCGCATAACATTTTTCCGGGCGACCAGTATATAAAGTGCTATAAACAAAAAATTATAGGACTACTTGCCGATTGTGCCCCGTTCGAGACGCCATTGTTTATTAAGCTTGTTTTCGTCGCCGGGCGGCACATTGGACGGCGGAGGCGTACGAAACGTGTCACGTGACTACTCGCTCGCCCGGCATCTCTGACGTGTTTTCTGATCACTTAATACAGTCGAACATCGATTATCCGCAACATTTCGGGACTGGGGTTGTTCACATAGCTGATTTTTTGGATAACTGATTATTTACAAAAAATATATTAAACACAAAACTGTATTGTATATAATTTGTATCACACGTCTTACAAATACGTACTGTACAGTACCTTACATAATGTAGTACATTAAAGTAAGTCTACAGTTTAGTTTGGTAGGGAGGGAGAGAGTGCCGCAACGCCACAGCATTAGCGGAAATTTGAATTTGCAGACTGGAACGCTTTCGGTTGATCGGTATTCCGATAATCGATGCTCTACTGTAATAATAATAAATTATGAATGACTATATGAAACAACGAAGGTAAATCCGCTCGCTAAAGGCAATAATTCTATCACGATATATATTATGATAATAAATATTAGTCAGATGCAACATAAGATGTCTATTGTCTTGATGTAAATAAATAAAATCAATTTTCCTTAAGACACGGAAGAGATTAGTATGTTTAAAGCCAGAGTGGAATTATTACTTATTTATCGAATTATCATACGTTGTTATATGTTGATTTTATCCATATTTAAAATGGAATGATGTTTTAATATTTCGATTAACGATGTCTCTACACTTTAACGAATTCTTCTGCAAGACGAATAAGTGATCAGAAAACACATCAGAGATGCCGGGCGAATGAGTAGTCACGTGACACGTTTCGTACGCCTCCGCCGTCCAATGTGCCGCCCGGCGACGAAAACAAGCTTAATAAGCAATGGCGTCTCGAACGGGGCACAATCGGCAAGTAGTCCTATAATTTTTTGTTTATAGCACTTTATATACTGGTCGCCCGGAAAAATGTTATGCGGTTTCTGAATGCCTATTAAGTATGCATTCTTTTTATAATAAATAAATAAAAATTTCATATTCCCTTAAACTATATAATTACCATATTATACTCTAAATTTTCTTTCGCGTTGTCGCACCACTTTAGGAAGTGCCCGTATACGTAATTGCATCGGTTTTAGCAGCCGTTTAATTAGTTTCGATCGCCGCAGCAAACGATACGGACGATCGTTTCTTTAAACTTTTTGATAAAAAAATTACGTAAAATTGGGGTCGCGTAATTATCCGAAATTATTATTATATTTTTAGACCGGAAATCGCTAGTTTTACGCAATTTTAGTTCGATGCGGTATAAAACCGACTTCCGGTAGAAGTTTGTTTAAGACACGCCACCGAAAAAGCCCCAAAATGGCGGCTCCGGAAGTAGGTCACGCGTGTCCAGGACCTACGTATACGGACCTAGGGCATTTAGAAACGACGGATAACGCGGTGACGGAGGGATACGCAATTTTAAAGAGAAAAGTTAAAAGAAGGATCTCGATGGTAAAATTTAAGCATAAAACGGATTGTCTGGCCGACAGAGCATTCGAAATAGCCGCGAAATAATTAGAATACCATCGCGCTTTCGCAACTTACGAATTTTCATTGGCAAAAAGCGCATAATGGGACCGAGCCACGGAAGACGCTTTCCACGATAAACTATTACTAAGAGCGGCCGTTCCGCAGGAATTTTGAAACGGATGCGGAGTTACTCGGAGGAATGACGACTATATTTTGTTTTTCGTCCTCGATGCCATCGACACACGCTTTCGGTTCCCCACAAACTTTGTTGCGCTATGTTATCAAATACTTTTTTAAAATAATCACCGAACTCGTTTTGCGACCTGATGATTTTGAATTAACGCGGTGTATAGAAACGCGCGAGGAAGGGGTATTATTCCGAGCAACTTTTATCGTCGATTCGTACGCACGAACCTGACCGAACTCGTAATGGGCTGGCTAAAAGAGTTTAAAAACCGCGCGATACGATAAAAAAGAATTTGAGTCGACCGCCAAAGACACACTAAATAGTCTGTGGTAAAATGGAAATGCGTCTTATATACAGTAATTATTTCTTACGAAGAAGATAAATTAATTTCTTTTATTAATCGCGGGAAGAAAGTATTTTAACGCATTTAAAACTTGTGTTTTAATGAAATTTCTCGGTAGAAAGATTCCGTAAAATATTTTGCATTTTATCTAAGTTAATTAAACAAGGTCTGATCGGAAGTGGAACCGAGAGAGAATTCGGGAGGACCGCGAAGATTTATAAATTTTGCAAATAGAATTAGAATAAAATTTGAAATTATTCTACGGGAAAATAAACATAGAAATAGTCGCATTCAAATTCTTAAAAAAAATTCGACGGTTAAAGCGTAAAACGCTGCCTTAAACCTAACGAGGGCCGAATCGATTACGACCGATGGGAAATAAACGTTTACGTAACGACCAATGGGCCGTGTTCTACGTCGCTAATTTGGTCTTTGCCAAGATAATTTATTCGTATGTTTGGAGAAAAGTAATGTAAATCTATAGACGATTAGGTGGTATTATGGAACACTTCGGATATTACCGAACCACCCCATTTCGAATCGATAATAAAGGCGAACCGTAGCGAAATGTTGCCGAACCGAACTAGGCAGACATCCGTAGTCAGGGGAAAACCAGTTTTATTTCAGTTAAACGGTTGTCCGTATTTAATCGGCAAATTTGTTTTTTTTTTTTTTTTTTTTCAAAATTCGCAAGTTTTGAATGCTAAGCGAATTTAATTATTTTTAAAATATAAATCGCGTAGTTGTAGGTTCGCCGGTGCACGTATTCCGTTCCAGAGACTTAGGGGTGCATATTAATCTGCGTGACTTTCACGTTTTTAAAGTTTGGTGCCGACAGGAATTAAGTTAACCCAAGACGGAGATGCGTGAAATACGGACCCCATCGGTGCTTTTAATACGGAATCCACCTCCTCCGTTGTTCGGTATTACCGACAAATTCAAACCATAAAATAATGTTTTTACGTTTTATTTTATTTACGAAAACATTTTTTTAATTTAAATACTATCTTAACAAGAAATAAAATGTAAGATAACAATCGAAATAAACATTTTTTTTCACGAAAAAAAAATCGTCCGCTTACAAAATAGCGCGAAACTGAGCACGCGCGAAGTGACAGTATCGTCTGGTAAGGTAAACAGTCTACAAGTAAGTTGAAACTTTTACGTTTATTTATTTGAAAAATAAGAATAAATGTAGTAAAAATGAAATTTTATAAGTTATATTTAATCACCATTTTTTAAGAATCTTATAGAAAATGTTTTTTAAAATTTGATATTGTTGTGAATAATTATAGATAAAGATTTAATCTAGAATAATATTTATTATAGATAATGAGAAAACGTTACTAAATACACTTGATATTAAAGTGCTAATGGAATGTGTNTTTTAAAATTTGGTATTGTTGTGAATAATTATAGATAAAGATTTAATCTAGAATAATATTTATTATAGATAATCAGAAAACGTTACTAAATACACTTGATATTAAAGTGCTAATGGAATGTGTATTCAAAGCTGTGTACCTAAATGGTAATGAAAAACTAAAATATTAATTGTTATATTGGTGGTTTTACTCGCATAAGGTTTATTATAATATTTATGTTTTGTAGTACTGAAGAGGGTTCTTTAATAGGACCGAAATGCATATACAGTGATTAAATAAAGAGAAGCTATCTGCTGTGTGATGGTCTACCGCTAAACCTAAAATTTATATATTTTTCGTGCGGATTTACAGAGACTTTATAATAATTATATTTATAAATGTAGCAGTTGTGATAAATGGGCACACTGTTCTTGTGCCAATATTGAAGCGATGATGACTCTCCTTTTGACTTGCCTGGTTTTAAAGATGACACTGCTTGTCTGTTTGCGGATGGTAGTCACGGGGAGGTGTGGGTGCAATGCCTAATGTGTGCACATAAACATTGTGCTGATGTTGATATTTGTGATTTTTGTAAATGATTAGCTTCTTTGTACATTTAAATCATTTTTGCGTTAAAATACATCGGAGTAAATAATTTTGTAATTATTTAACATTTTTTGTACTTTCCTATTTGTTTTTGGCTACATTAAAGCATTTTTTGAAAATATAGGGTAAGGTTCCGTATTACCACCCGATTTTCTCCAAGCCTACTTTCTGACTTCAAAAGCCATACTTATAGTTACGCTAACGAAAAATCCAATTAGGAACATTTAGTTTAATAGTTACCGGTACTTTTTGCACAAAAAATGTGGGTCTAGTTACGATACCTTGTTTACAATTCACTAAAATGTAATTGGGGTTCCATAGTAGCACCTTCTCCTCTATTACGAAAACGAGACGAGTTCCATTAATTACGTAAGTAGTAATTTAACGTTACAGATATAAATTCGATAGTACGAATTCCAACGTTAACCGGGTAATAATTCCCGGTGAAACGTATTTGAATTTTTGTTTTTAAATTTAGTTACTAAGCCGTAAATTTCTATATTTTTCTTAAGTAATTTTTAAAATTGAACGTAAAATATATCACAAGCGTAACTACGTAGTGCTAGGTTTGGTAAAGTTGACGTACTTCGATGGAATCTCGCCGCCTCCCTAAAATCGCAGTTGTAAATGTTCTTACCAGAAATATTGCTTAACGGACATTTCTTTGTCGTTTCACCTTTTACAAACGTCGACGTCGCTCTCTGCCATTTCCTTTCCTTCGTCAATTTCGTCAAAGTTGAAACGTGACAGACAACGGGCACGCGTACCAATGGAATTCCTACTCGTTAGAAAGCCGTTTAATTCGTTCGACGTACTCTAAATAAAATATTCTTAGAATTTTCGTACGGCATTTGTGTCGACTCGATTGTCAATCGTTTCTTAACTGTTGCGGAGTAACGTTCGATTTTTATGTATTACGCTTTATGTACTGGCGGGGGTCGAGGTAAGACGAGGTGGTTATTTTATACAGATTTTGAGACCGGATTCGAATCCGGAATCTTTATCATCGGTAGACTTTCTTGCTATCCGAAAAGGATAGAAATGTGTAGTTTTCGTATTGGCCTATCTGTGAAAAACAAACGCGAGTGGTATATAAATGTACAGTAGGTGTACAAAAACATATTATACGCTTACGGGCCACTGTTTTGCTCTTATTTTATTGTCATATAATTCAATTGTAAGCTCGCAACTTCGGTTCTTTCTGTGACTCGACGCGGCAACCTAAAAAAGTTATTTATATATTCAATATACTGTACTGCTTAATTTTATTAATTTTTTAATTCTTTCCAAAGGGAATTATCCTCCGGAAATCCCTTCCGGTCTTACCTCGGTGCGAACAAATATGGCCGACGATTTCAGACGAATGCGGCACAGTATTTAACTAGTAAAGTAAGTGGCACGGAGAAACTCGAAACGATGTTTATCGACGAAATTAGCCTGGATCAGCGGTTTGAGCAGTAATGCGTGACAAACGAAAAGCTGCCGAGAAAAGAAAAAAATACGATGAAAAGTACAGATAATAAAGAAATAAAATAAGTAGGAAAAGTGGCGTTGAGCTTTTGTCCGGTGTGGACCGAGGGAACTGCGTCTGACTAAAAAGCCATTTGAAACAGTTACATAAAAGTTGAAAATTTTCCGATGGGACGAAAGGAGATCGGTACGGGCCCGGGCATGCCGTTATAGCAGAGACGATCCGAGAGGGACGTAAATCTGGTTCCTTTTTATTTCAACTCGGATAACTTTTCCGCAGTTCAACCGAAATTAACCAAACTCCGTAATCCGAAAAACAGCACCCAAAATGTCCGAGTCAAAGAGGCGAAAGTCGACACTTTCGTTTTTTGAATACGTCTTTCCTCAGAGTTAATTATATTTACCAGAAAGTAATTTATGCTCCAGCCAATGCTCAAAATTCTACTGAGAATTTTGACATCAAAATCTAAGGTGGGAAGTTTTTTAAAAAATCGGACAAGAAAGGTACAAACGTTACAAATATGACGGAATATTCAAAAATTAATTTTAAGGCCTTAAAAGAAAATCAAGAACCAGATAAAGTGGATTTACAATTGAATTATTATTTTAAAATAATGTGTAGTTTTCACTAGAGAAGTATGCAATATGTTTACTAAAATTAATAAGGAAAGAAACCCATGTTCGTGGCTAAACGGTTAATGATTTCATAGTTCTTTACAGCTTATGTTGACATTTAATAAATCATAATGAGGTTAACAAAAGTATCGCAAAGGATGGAAAACTTCGGTAAAAGATCTTATTAGTTTACAAATGTATTTTGAATTTCGTTTTTTCATTCGTGTGTATTGTTTTCTGTTGTCAAAAATATTTGGGTACAAATTTTGTATAAATACATTTTTATATGAAGAAATTATTTTTTATAGAAAATTTCTATAAAAACTCTCTCTCAAGACCAAGAAGAAATGGAAATTCAACGAAATAAGGCAAATAAAAATTAAGTTTTCCGGGTATTATGAGATTTTGTTTAAAAAATAACTTTTATATTATTAATCATAAATAAGTTTTCCGGGTTTTTCTCCACGTCCGTAACGCCCGAATAGGGAGGGATCCTTTACCCTTAAAAAGACCCCCAGAAGGCAGATAGCGCCGAGTGTTTCGTCGCCATAACCCGACAAAACAAACAACATAATCGTAAATAAAAAAAATTGTCCTTGGCGCTATCTCTTATTAGAATTTTTAAATAAAAACTTTATATATTATTATTATAAAATGGCAAAACGCTTAATTTTGAGGGTAGACACGAGTTTTATAAAAAAATTTTAAATATGATAGGTGAACCACCTCTATCTCCCCACCCTCATGTTTAGCCGCCAAAATTTCAAGGTCCCCCGAGTGAGAAGATAAAGGGGAGTCGTATCTCGAGTGGGAACGGACTTAATGATTTCACTTGTTAGCATTTATTTTATTATAAAAGTCGTCTCTACCTTCCAAATTATGCGTTTTGTCATTTTATAATAATTAAAAATACTGTATAAAAAAGACGGCTCCACGGACATTATTATTTATTATTAATAATTAATTTTTCTTTTTAACTAAAATCTCGTTGTTAGATTGTTTTTAGCTTTTACGCCAGCTATTTTTCGAAATTGCGGGTTGGAGCTCCAATATTCATCGAGTTATTATTTTTTGAATGTAGCTAATTTATTTTCTATTGTCTTTGGCGATTGTTTAATTAAAATTCTAATGTAAATTTATATACGACTGTCCATATTTTCTTTTAACTTAACATCAGAATGATGCTTCTTAAGGTATTGTGACGATAAATAATTGCTCGTTCATGTATTAAATCACACTACTAATTGTGTTACACATTAAAAAAAATCTAAAATCACAAGGATCCGAACCCATATCGTGCAGCACCAGCGTCTAGCATCTAGGAACTTCGATAGCCCAGGTACTACTGAAATTGCTAGGATAGAGGCCCGTTTTTCGGACAACGAACTGTTTCGTTCGAATCGTCTGGCCTTCTCTGCCATCGACAGATGCAATTATCCGATCTTCACGGCTTCGTCTATTGTCTCGCGACATCTAATAATCTCGAAACAACTAAAATCGATTTCGTTCCTTTACTTCGCACTTGGATAACGAATGAGAAACTTCTCCACATGATAATACATTTCAAGTAGAATTTGGCATTTCTTTATAGTCATTTTTTGGAATTTACAATATATTATTCTTCACAAAACAGAAATTGAGAGATCGGAAATTTCACTTCAATGAATGAAATGGGCAGGTCTACAGAAGTGACAACGGAACAAAAAAAATCAATTTTAAGACGTGTCCAAAAAGCATAATGAAGACATATACAACGTGATTTTTTTTTTGTTTTTGCTACATCAATAGCTTGTAGGGTCACCAGGCACTCGGCCAAGCGTTTCGGTGTGCTTCCAACTGGCTTTGAAAGGTAGTGACGTAACACCGCATCTTGGAGATCATTAAAGAACGAAAACCGCCTGCCTTTATTGTATACTGCCCGAACCACTTTCTACGATGTTACGGTCTGATCTTGCAGACCACTTCGATCATTGAATATTTCTTTCTGCCATCCATTCTTTGGTCGACAGGCTGCGTTAACCTGTTGAAAAATAGTTACCTCCACCTAGAAGCCATTTGTAAACACATAAATGCGCATCTGTGAATTCGTTGCAGGAACTACTTCTAAATCGGCCTTTCCTCTTGATGACACTGTACCCGCACCTTAATGTTTGGTTCTTTCCTTAAATCATTTCGGTGGTAATGCGTGTCGTCGTCCAAACTGAAACTCTATTACAGAACGATACATTATTCCACCGAATATTACATTCCGACCACTTGAGAATGGCGTCGTCCTTCATAGGTGAGGTTGGCTCTTCAATTTTGCGTATTTAGATTGATGGAGAACACAGGAAACGGGTGTTGGCATTTCGGCAGAAATTTGGCTACAGGACAGGCTAAAGCAATTACCAGTTAACTTCCTCTAGCAAGTACATTTTCAATTGTTGATTTCTTCAGCAATAGTGAAAATTGTTTCCAAATATTCCGAACTTCCCTTTTGCCAACGATTTGTTGAGGCATTTTTCTTGTTCTAGCCGGCCGCACGACTATCTTCAATACATGTAAATATTGTCCCCAGCTGAGAAAAATCACGTTGTATGTGCCGTCCCTAAACTTTTGGTCAAATCTTAAAATTAATTTTTTATTTTTAATGTTCTATTGCATACATACTTCTGTAGAACCTCTCGCACATGAGTGCAGTTTAACTGCAATCAGATATAACACAAAAATGATGGTGTCGTTATAATTAGGGGCAGGAATGTTTACAAAGTAGAGCTTGATAAATTTAGACACGCGATCATTTGTTACATTAATTAAGGAGCTCCCGAGTTATTTTCATCAAAATCCTTTACACATTTCTAGGTTTTTTCGCTATATTTTATTTACACGTTATGTTAGTAGTAGCTTAGTCATGTAAACTAATTGTTAAACAATTAATAATACGAATTTTTCTATTATATTCCAATAATATATATATATATATATATATTTAACTGAACAAACTAAACTTTACTAAAATCTTACTCGCATGTAGGCACTTTTATTAATAAAAAATTTTTAAAATGATATCGGCAGAATCCAAGGAAACACAATCATTACACCAGATTGTTTGTGACAACGTTTAATTTGCCAACAAAAGTAACAACTTTTGAACACTACAGTCTGTTTTAGTCACAAACAGCCAGCACAGATATGATATACAATCTGTGAAGAACAGCCCTAAGATGTTCAGCAGGTAAAGTAAGGAGGTCCATAAAAATATGTACACCAGTAATTTATACCTCCATATTATTTCGATTTTTTACATCCTGCTGTCAAAGCTGTACCAAAAAAAAAACAAAAAAAAGGAAGGGCAATCATAAGAATTAAAATGTGGAAATATTTTCTTTGCAAGAAACAGTGTACTTTTGCCACATGTACAAAATGAAAGAAGTTCAAACAACCAGGAACCTTTTTTTGTTTTCTTAACATTTACAAATACTAATGTATATTCATGAACCCTTCAACTTTGCAAACACACAAAGAAGTAATGCATGTCTGCTGGCTTTACATTTTACAGTGGTGCAACATACTGGAGTCTGTAGGATTCCTATAGTACCCTGCACATGAAACCAAGGCACAAAGCACCTGCTAATAAGGAAATCACTCTGAGTCCCGCTCGCACGAGATAATTCCCTGTGAGATGGCAGTGTCAGCAGACGGACATTATGAGGAAACACTTTCTCCTTTATTTCTGAGATGTAGCTATCTTGTGCACACGTTTTCCTTAGTTGTATTTTATCAAACGAAATCACAGTCGAACACAGTTTCTGAAGGTGGGTTGTGAGCAGAATCTGATAGATTTTTTGTCCTTCTTAATGCTCCACAGGCCTTTAAAAACAAGAAACCATGAATGTGACCACTTTCAGGCACCGTGAAGCATAATTAGCTGCACTAATTTGTAATATGGAATGCACAATATTGTACAACAGATTAGTCTCTTTAATCACACAAAATTTCCCTTTGGGAATGAATTTCAGTCTTCGTCCGACAGAGGTTCGTACTGAGAAGAAAGAATTGGTGCCGGTTGATTTTCTCTAGATAAAGAAGAGGGAGAATTACTGGAGGAACTACTTCCGCTTACTGCAGATGACTGGATGTGTGATGATGCGCAAGAAAGGCTAGAATTTGGATTTTGTGTCGAAGACGGACTTCCACACTGATGGGCCGAAGCGGCTAACGACCTGACCGAAAGCGCAGAATAAGCGTAAGGATACGGGGTATTTCTAGAAAAATTTGAATATGGAATGTGCTGGCTGGAAGATACAGATGGCGTCATTGAACTAGAGGAATATATTGGACTACTACTGCTTATGCTAGTGCTAGAAACTGATGAACTATACGGAGAATAGCATCCCGGACCAACTACTCCGCTCGACAGAGGGGTATTGGCCCTGCTATTCTGTCCCTGGGTGGATGTAACAGGACCACTCTGACTAGGATCAGAGAGAGAGAGACTTCCATTTGTACTGCCAACCTGTGCATTACCGGTACTACTACTACTACCAACTTGATCTCGAGTTTCTATATTTCCAGAAGTGGAAATTGTTTCTTGTGTAGGAGGAGAAACGGGTTCAATTTGAGACGAAGATGCACTATTAATATTTGACGATTCATCAATTACCATTTCTCCAGATGCAGGACTGTCTACTATATGTGAGATACAATCAGTTGTAGTTCTATCATCTCCAACACCAGAAGTAACTTCCCATTGGTTTTCTCCTTTTGTTTCACAGTATGTAGAGCTTTCTACCGTTGACCTCTCCCCTTCTCTTCGACTGGACTGAGAAGAATGTAATTCAGATGGAGAGGCACTTCTAGATAAATCATTTCCGTTAGAACTAATAGGAGGTGAAGGATGACTTTCAGAAATATAATTGTTATTTTCATTCTGCTCTCCGAAACTGGCTAATTGTGGAGGTTCCAAATGTCCTGACGTAGTACTACTATGTGCATTTTCTGAACTTTCTGGAAGGGGTAAATTATTTTTTTCTGTAGAACTTTCAGGTATATAGTGACTTTCTAGACGAGATTTCTTCCTTGATGTTTCTTCTAATTCTTTTGTTGTTATTTCCGTACTACTAGGAGAAGCTGACCTGGGTCTAATTCTAGATATTCGAACATCTTTCCAATCAGAATTGTGTGGAACACATTCTAAATTATGTTTATAGAGATGTGAACTGTCTGCCATTACACTAATTCTACCAGGATTAGAATCAACAGCAGATGATGGGCGTGGAGGAGTAGGAATAAAAGAAACTGGAGTAACTGCAGGACTATACCTTTGAGAAGATTGAGGTGTCATGGTTTCTCTAATATTTTCTGAAGGACATTCATTATCATAGTTATTTAATGAATTATATCTAATATTTTGTGATTGATCTTTCTCTTCTTTTTGCACACTTTGAGAAGAAGAAGGAATACCTTTCCTCACAGATTCATGAATTTCATTATTTTCATCAGTAGCAGTTCTCATAACCTCAACAATTCTATTTTTTACATAATCTAATGGAGAAAGTCCAATTTGTTGTTGATGAGGTGGTCTGTTTGAAATCGAGGGACCCAAGTTTCCTATACAAGTGGGAATGTTAGAACTATGAACAACGGAACTAGATACAGAAACAGAAGATTCCGAGGACTCGTGCTGATACAAGCGGCGAGTTGTTAGCAAGCCAGTTATACCCGGATTTGTTACCCAAGCAGATGTCCTATTTGAAGGATGTCCGGGAAATGAATTGTTGTCCCCAGATGTTGTTGACGATGCTGAAATTACACGAGAGTTATTACTAATAATGTTATCCGATGAAGGTTGATTTGGTGGTGAAATAGGTTCGACAGCATATGGTGTAACCGGAGATGTACGTGATGATCTCGAAGAATGTGATGATTGAATGCACGGAGAACCCGATTGAGCAACTCTAATAATTTGACGTTCGTCTTGATTCATAACATTACCAGCAACTTGAGTTGGCTGATGAGAAATACTGGAAGTATCGGCACAACCTGGAGACTGATGTTCTCTATCACGATCCTGTTGTAAAGCTCTTCGTAATTTCCAACTATGAGAACTGCAAGCCGAACCAGAACAATTCTGAAGACTGTGATCTGGTTCACTCATCGGAGAACTTTGAGTACCAGAGAGACCTTCAGCAGGAAGAGATGCAGCTATACCTTCTAATGGCCTATTATGATGATGAGAATCAAGTACATGACACACATCAGATTGATAACTTGCTCTATTTGAGGATGCAGGTGACATAGAACTTCCAACAGCAATACGATTATGACTATAAGAGGACTGGGCAGAATGTATATCATTAGATGAGCTAAAGTCTTTAGATATAATAGCAGCAATCCTTTCACCCAATGTAATGTTTTTCTCTGTCATACAAGCAAAAGAATCTTGTGCTATAGGAGAGTTATGATTATGACTACTAGGTCGTTCCCTGTTATACCGTTCTCTGTTTATAGGAGGTTCGTCGTCTATTGTTACAACTTCTTGCCTACCATTATTATGATTTACTCTTCCACTTTCATGTTGTCTAGCATCACTTTCAGATTGTTGTCTCTGGAACAAATTATCTATTGCAGCATTTTTGTTGTTGCCAGGATTTTCGGCAGTCTGATTAATTTGATGAGTGATAATAGCATCGATAAGATTAGCAGCTGTAAAGCCATGTTGAGTGGAAGTTGGTTTTTGATGGTCCTTTTGAAATGATTGAGAAAATATTCTAGAAGCTTCATTATCTAATTCATTTTGATGAGTATAAGGAGTTGAAGTCGTGGGTCTTTCTACCATGTCCATTCTAATATATTTTGGACGATTTTCGTCCTCTTTTCTGTTCTGAGATAAACCTCTTTCACGACTTGATCTCGACATGCCATAATTAGGTTGTCTCATTTGTTTTTCAAATTGTTCTCTGGTGAATGGTTCTCTTGCATTGGACAACCGTAAACTAGAAGTTGATTCTGTAATTCCCATTTTAGGTCTTTCCAAATCTACAGTTAAGCGTTCTAAATTATTATGATCATAATCGGTATTTGGGCCTGTTTCAACAAGATAGTGTTGCTCTTCTCGGATATTAGAATGACCAATAATAATCCTCTCTCTTTCTCCATCTACCGGTAAGCCTTCCACGCTAGCTCTACCATGCTCTCTCTCATTTCGATATTTCTCGCGAGAATTATTTGCAATTATTGATTGTCCTGACTCGGAGTAAGATCTTGGTCTCTTATGCATATCTAGAAGTGATTTTTCCAATCCTTCCACAGTTGATCTTTCCCTTGGGGAGCGAGTGATCTCTGAATGCATATGCATATTTGGACTTGAAACAATTGGAGAGCGTTTTTCTTCTTTTGGTACAACTAAGCTTGGTTGAGCTGCAGCTGCATTAACTAAAGTATTAAATGCATCGTGAGAAGAAGGATTTATAGAATATGTCCCTGGTGGAGGATGTCGAGGAGAAGGTGCTCCTTTTCTTATTGGTGGCACGGGACTTATTGGTTCTGTCCTCATGTCTAGTGAACGAGGCGAAGCTGACGTCGGAGTCTGAATTACCGATGGTTTAGCAGTTCCCCATGTAATACTACGCTGAATAACATTCTGACGAGGCGTGACATGACCTTGCTGAAGTCCTGGGCTATGAACAGAAGATTGTTTAGACACAGGTGATGGCCATGAGGTATTTGGAGAAATTTGAGATTCATTTCCAGGACTGTGTGTCCTATCTATTTGTACAATTGGTGAACTACTATGATGATGAAATCTAGAATCACCAACTGGAAAGTAAACAGATCCTTGACCTGGAAAAGGGACACCACTTGTATTTGAAGGATAAGGAACATTTGTATAAACTGAAAATATACGAGGATCTGGAGTAGAAGAACCACTTAACGGTGGATGTGGATTGTTTTCATGTGCTCTAGGAGATATTCTAGCTTCTTTTTCAGAATTGCTTCCCCTTCTCATTTGCATTTGTTTTGATGTGTTGAAATCTATCATAATTTGTTTTGAACTAAGCTGAGATTCACAATGATAAGCTGATCTTGAAGTTTGTTGTGGTGAAGAATAAGCAGTAAATGATTGTGGATATGAGTATGGTCCAGTAGGTGACATGCGCCTATAGTAATTTTCTATAGCGTTTGGATCATACATGACCCTCAATCCTGGCCTAGGAAGACCTTCTGATGCTGTTACTGGATTTCTGCTGTTGCCATCAAAAGTGGGAGTTGGTGCAACAGAGCCTTCTAAACGTCCACTGCCTGACATTCCTCTTTTTGAAGCAGAATCGTGAGATAATGGGGTTCCTAATGTAATTGATCCAGATTCTTTAGGCATATGCGCTGTAGGATGCCCCAAAAAATTGTCGTGTCTTGACACTGATTGTGAATGATTAATATTATTAGAAGCAGAAGAGAGATGCTGATTAACTGGAGTGCCTTGTGTTATAGAACCAGGAGGAGGATGTGACATTAATTTCTCCTTATATGGTAGTTTTGGTGATAAAGGCGTAGATTTAACTGATGATGTTATAAGTGGAGGAGGAGGTGGTACGTTACATTTAGCAGATTTTGGTAAAATTCGTGAAGGTGGTGGTGTAGCAGGAGTAACTGGTGTTGGTGGTTGGGCAATTAATTGTGGAGGTTGAGAATGCAACTGATCGGGAACATTATACGATGTCTTTCCATGACTCTCATTAGAACGAGAATAATATACTTCTCGAGGTTCTGTAGTATATTGAGGAGACAAGTCAGGTGGAGGAAGAAGTCTATTTGTTCTACTATAATTAGAATGAGCTGGTGGCGGAGGAATACCACCATAAGGTGAAAATTGACTATGTGAAGTGGAATAACCCAGTTCGGAAGGTGGCCGAACGTTAGTTACAATTCTCTCTCTTTTTAGAGATCCATATTCTCTTGGAGGACTGTAATTTTTATCTCTAGGTTTGTCTTTCCTACTCAGATCTTGCACTTCATAATCTAATATCTCCATATCTGGTTCCCTATTCATATGATGTGCATACTGAGCCATCAGTCCTTCAGGTCTTGTTACTGAATAATGAGGACGTGAGGCTTTATGAGCCGCTGGAGGCGTATTACTTAAATTTGCATGTTCACCAATTTCATCCTTTATTTCCTGAGAAGCTTCTCGAGAAAACATGTCCTTTTCTCTCTCTCTGTTAACAATTGACTGTAATGTTGATGATGAAGTGATGGGTGTTGTACTCTTTCCTGGTTTTACAGGTGATTGTAAGCTCATTTCTATAGCTTGATAAATGAGGTCTCTAACACAAGTTGGCTCATCTTTTTGAGATTTACCATCCTGAGGTGACGGATGATAAGCTTGAGTCCGAGAATGATGAGAAGCTATGATTTCATGTGGTATTGTTCCAATAACGGGATCTTGTAATAATGTCTTTACTAGTGGAATGTTATATGACGATTCATGTATTCCAGATCCATCTAGTCTATCCTTAGGTTGCACTGAGAATGAAATACAAGAATTTCCACTACCAGGAATCTGGTTGGCATTTTCATTTCCATTTCCACTTTGTGGTCTACTAGTTTCTGAACTCGCTAGCTGTGTCGAAGTTGTACTTCCATCGTTTTCATTTAAGCCCTGACCTTCATCGGCACTAACTGTTGCACTGCTGTCATAATCAGGAACATTTCTTGGACTGTGACAAGTTTCAAGTCTTGGACCATCATTAGTGTCACATACTTGTTCTTTATGAATTAAAGTTGGAATAAGATTTGGTCTAGAACAGTCTTTTTCAGAAACTGAAAAGAATTAAATGATTAAAATTAAATATCATATCTAATCATATCATATGCAATATATTTTATAACAAAAATTTTTTAAATATAAATAAATAATCATAATTCCATACTCAATATAAATTTTACATTTTCATATTTGATTTATATGCCAAGCTTCATGGCTGACAATTTCACTTGATCTTTAACCGAGTTCAAAAAATTCCATGTTGCTATCAAATTTACAGTGGTACCTCAGGATACAAAATTAATCTGTTCCGAAACTGAAATCGTATCGTGAAAATGTCATAAGGTGAATCATTTTTCCCCATACGATTACATGTAAAACCAAATAATTCATTTCAACATGAAAAACACACTCAAATTAAAGCTAAGTAGTACATTAAAAAAAATAACTATAGTAAGGAAAACACTGAAAAATGTATTTTGTAGTTGTAAATGTATAAATAACCATAATAGAATAATAATTGATTTAAAAAAAATGTAGTTTTATTTGCAATTTACCTTTGAGGATAGACAATGGTGGAGGTGTAAACTGCTGGCGGAAAAGAGGGAGAAGGGAAATGATACTAAAAATTGTTACATTATGTTATGTAAGTTAAGAACTTATAAATAATTTAACACTAATTTTTTAACTTTTCTGTTTTATATATTTTTTTAAAATTTTTTATTCACTGCTTTTTGCCATCTTTCCTTCACTTCTACCAAGACTTTAACTGGATAGAGGTCGCTTGGTAAAATATCTATCCAAAGAGGTTTGGCTTTGCCTACTTTTTAAAATGTTTCTAAAATTACTTAGGAAAATATCATTACTCCGAGCAGCAATATGGCCAGTGTGAACCTTTACGGGATGTTTCTTTTCAATAAAATCAGTCACTTTCTGATAATAACTCGAGATTTCCTTTATCGAGCAAGATCCTTCCACGACGAAGCAAACGCGCGGACCGAGACTGATAAACAGAAGTGAATAAAAAATGACTCTGCTAACTAATGTAATGCCATATGGTGAGTTTTTGTTTGTATCGTGGAGCAAAAATATGTTCAAATTTCGTGTTGTATCCTGAAAATTTCGTATGCTGGGGCGTTCGTATCCTGAGGTACCACTGTATATTGAATAAACATTTAGAAGAATTAATAAAAATTTTTTGTTGCTTGTTTATTAGACATATCAGTTATTAAATATTATCAGAATTAGCAAGTCCTAAAATATATAAGTTAAAAATAATAACAAATATAGTAATATAGTAATATAGTTACTATTATTATTAACTAGCTGCAAGGACCCGCTTCGCTGGGTTTTTATTTGTATGTAATATAGTTTTTTTATATATAAGACTGTTTTTCTAAGTAATCTAGAATCTGGCTGCAAGGACCCGCTTCACTGAGCAAAAAGTAACGATAGTAAAGATTAAGATAATTACATTATAGCCAATCTTACCCGTTTTCACAGAATGCAAGAATTAGGTCCCCCGTTTCCAGACTAATTAGAGAATTTTTACATGAGTCTAAAAATATGTTCAATTTCCCGCAAAATGCAAAAAACCACCTGTAAATCTTGCATGCCGCTTTATATTAACACTTCCATTGTTACACATCTTCGAAGTCAACCACTTTCAACCCCATATCTCCCGCACCCTTATAGCTATCAAGACACAACCACCATAGTGCACGAATGGAGACTTGAGGCTACTACTACATACAAACACCATTCATGTGCGACGTGTAGTTTTGGCTGAAAACTGAAATATAGGGACACACACATCCATTTACTTATTTATTTATGTATATATATATATATATATATACACAGATTATATTTTTTATAATTGTTTAACATGATCTTTTAATATCAGAGTCAACAGAAGCGTTTGCTTATGTAACTTGCTTAAGGTTCAGTCAGTTATCATCAACAATACAAGCAAATTACAACATTCACATTCCACTGTATCTTCCTCTATTTATTAAAAATAATAATTTTTATGCTTGCAACATTGCAATATTTTCACAGAATATTATTCATAAGTTTGAATTATGTAGTAGTATGTCAATGAATAGGATTATATATGCTCAGTAACATCAGCTATAAATCAGTTATTTGGATTTTTTTTTATCACACTGATCTACTGAATTACCAGATTATTTTAAGCCATAAGAATGTTGCTCATTAATTAGCATAATTTAAAGATAATTAGAAATGAAGTTTGATTAAATTATTTAATTAGTAGTATTTATATGTGATAGCAGCCTAACTGCCTACTTACAGGCTAAATTATAATAGTATATAAAACATAATTAGCAGTTTCATTACAGCTCAAAGCATGTTATAATTTGATATGTCATCATAATATTGTTTTATATTGTGTTTTGATTTTTATGTATTTCTTTTATATACTACTGAAAATTAAACTGATATATACCAAGTAACTTAATGATAGCTTAATATTTTAAACAAACCATTACATTTTTTTATTTTACTTAATTTAAATTATTTCTTAAAATATATTAAGTTTATAAATTTTTCAAACTGCATTCTGAAAGCTTTAAGCATTAATACAACAATAATTTAATTATATTAATAACAATAAGATTATAAAAAATTATTTCTACTCGCTGAATACTGATAAATATCAATCAAACTTAATTAATGGTTTTTTTAATAAATAATGTTTTTAAGAGTAAAGTTTTTATACTTTACTTACTTTCATCCAACATTTTGTTATCTGGACTGGGGGCACTGGCAGTGTCACTAGTACAGTTATCTACACAATTCTCTTCTTCACAACTAGAGGTAGTTTCGCCACTTTCTTCATCGGTTACTGTTGAAAGTGAATTATCTTTTCCATGTACCTAATTAAAATACACAAAATTAAAAATAATTCCCAAAAAACAAAAAAATTCTGATTAAAACTTAATAAAGGAAAACTTACTTCTCTGTATTCTCTAATGATATCTTCTAAACCAAGTTTACGCTTATAATTGAAATAAAAATTTTTACATTGCTCTTTTGTTTTAGACTGAACCATATCAGATATACTTTTCCAATCTGTACCATATTCTCGCAATCCCCGCTTTGCTATTTCCATCTCTTCTTCCGTCCATCGAGACGTCTCGGTACTTTCTGCAATGTGGAAAAATTATTATTAAAACCAAATGAAATTTCTAAAATAGCCAGAAGTTCGTAAATTGTAATTCAAAAATCTATTTTGCTTTTAAAATACAACCAATTTAATGAAAATAATAACTTTCAACAATATCATACTCAGATTATTCATTTTTATTTTTCTCATTAACTTTAAACATTTCTGGAGGAACCACTATGAATAAATGAGTGCAAATTACGTTCATTCACTTTTTGTAAAAAATTCTGTGTTTAAATATTTGTTTCAATGATGTTTTATTGAAATATCTTTGGATATTTATCATAATAACAACAACATTAGAATTAAATATTCTGTGTGTTTCTTACAGTTCATTAATAATATGAATCTATAAAAACTGAATTTGCAATATAACAAACATACAATAACAGAAATAAATAAATTTTGCACTGTATAATCAGTATTAATATGTTTAGAAAAAGTTATTCTGATCCGGGGATTTCCCCGTTGGGACCAAGTTACCCTAATACACAGGGTCTTCGACTGGCAGAACATTAGTACAACCCCCAGTCGACCCCCCCATAACACCATTGATGATTCCGTTTTATATGAATTCCATGTTGTACGAGTCACTTAGATTTTACAAATACGTGAGCCGTTCACAGCCTAGCACACATATTTGTAAAATCTAAGTGACTTGTACAACATGGAATTCATATAAAACGGAATTATCAACAGTGTTATAGGGGGGGTCGACTGTATGTTAGAAGTGGTAGAGATCTACAGGCAGACAGGAATGGAACCTGCATCAACATGGATGCCATTCATGTACCCAAGGCATGAAAATACTATATAGACTCATAATATATGTCACATAAGATACATCACAGTCTTTATTCTAACATATTTGAAACTGTTAACATCAGAACGCAACAGCATTCTATTTATAGAACGGTTTTTCCATTCTACGGTTCCTGATGAGGGCCGATGAAATAGTGGCCAAAAACGTTAGAATATTGAATTTCTTAGCTGGAAATTTTGCATTGAGGTGTAATTTCTTATTTATATGTACTGTACAGTTTATTATTTCTTAATTTTGTTATAAATTCCAGATTTGTTTTTTTTACTCTTTCTGTCGTCCTGTGGGCACAGAGAACTTTTTAGTCAAACTCATTATAAGATTCAGCTAGGCACACAATGGAGCATCCAGATGGTGAGGGACGGGGTCGGGCATATCCGGGAAGACCACACCAAAAAAATTCCTTTTTTTTTTTTTTTTTACCTGTTCAGATTCATTCCAAGGTCCCCAGAATAGTTGAGTGACACCTTAACAGCTTGGCCATCTGGCCATCAGATTTATTTTTAAAAATAATCTAGTATCAGTTATAGAATATAAATCCTTCAATGACAAAGTGTAACTTCACCATCACCTGATTTTTCATTTAAATTTGGAAATTTTTTCCATTACAAAAAAATAATTTTAATAAAATTTAATGCTTTTATCTTGATTAACCTGAATACACAGTGTTAGTATAAAGTTTATCTCAAATTCCAAAAATTTTTACTTTTGTAAACAATCTGCTTTAAATTTTTTTGGGGACGAAATTTTTCTATTCAGTTTTCTGAATTTTACATTGAAGTTATGGGATTTATTAATTTTATACTAACCTGTAGTATTACTATTCATATTATATTTCACAAGATAATTTATCTTTTATATTCATTCACAAATAGCTAGTTATAATCATTTTTTTAATGATGCGTTTATGTTTAAGGCAGGTTTGTCTTCCAAAGTATATTACGTTCCCGAAGACCCTGATATGCACAAAATGCATCATCACATTAAGTGAAAAAAAATTCTTAACTATCTTTAAACAAATTTCAACTACTTCGTACCGTCAGAAATAGAATGTGTTCCCAATTTTCTAGCGATTCGATTAAAGCAAGCCGAACAGCATTTGTTTACTTCTGCGGGGATTTCTGAAATTTAGGAATTTAAAATACACATTTTAAAATTAAAACAAACATGTGTGTATATATATTATATATTTAATTTATAAGATAAAAAAAATTAAATAATAACAATAATAATACTAACGAAGTTCAGCAATAATTGGTTCCCTGACTTCTGCGGACACTTCCGACCACTTACTCGGAAGAGGTCGTAATCTTTTTACTTTCCTTTTAGGTGTCTTACATGTTGGAATAGGGCATCTAAAGAACAAATTTACATAAATTTAAAATCAAATTCTTTAAATAAAATAGAAATATATGAACTATAATAGAATCAAAATCCAATTATTAAAACAAAAGTCACAAATTCAGAGAAACATTAAATTAGTAAAAGTGCTTTCAGGGATGAAAGACAATTTTACTCTAGCTTAGTGTTTCTTCAGAACTTATGAATTTTAATGATTCTAAGTGTTTTGTTAAGTATCAGGCATACATCAGAGAAGATATTTTTGGGCCATTGGTTGTAGTGGAGGACTATTTGTTTCTGCATTTTTGCCTTGCCAGGTGCATTTGTGTGCACTTTAATTGTGGACATGACTATAGTATACATACACAATTTTTTATTTGCTATCAAAATACAGTGGTAACTCAATACTCTAACTTAATTTGTTCGAGTACCAAACAAATTATTCCCATAACTTAAATTAATTGTTTCAGAACCCCAAAAACACTTATAAAAGTACTTTAAGTTGCTAATGCAAGTTTGTATTCTTTGTTTACAAGCTTATTTTTAACTTCCCACTTCCCATTTTGTTTGAGTAAAATCAAGTCAAAATGTCTGCAGATAAGATGCATATCAGGCATATTTATGCTTAGAGTTCGGAAAAAAACATAACACCATACAAACCATACAAATATTCATAATATGTATGGGGAAGATGCTACTAAACTTCAAATGTGATTTAAAAACTTCCATTCTGGAAATTTTGAATTAAAGGATGTACAGCAGAAGGATATTCAAAATCTGTGAATGAAAAAAAATTGCAGGAAGAAACTGCTAAAAACAAACAAATAAGAACTTGTGAAAACTCACAACTATAGTGTTTTGCTTTATTTTTAAATTAGTTATTCATTTTTATCACAAAAAATTTTTATGGATGATAAAATTAAAGTTAAACTAAAAATATTTGTTATTAACCAAAAACTTGATCTAGAATCATGTTTGCTCAGTCGAGTACCAAGCAATTTTTCCCAAACACATTTTGAAGTTCTGAGCAGTTACAGTATCAAGGTACCACCATATCACACTTTACTTGCTATTTTAGTTTGATTATATAGTTTACAGTACATCAAAAATTTGTATGGATAAGTTCTGTAGTTTTTTTGAAAATAACTGTTTGATTTCTAAAACTGTACTCAAAAGTAATGAGTTAAATTATACAGCTTTAGAGACAGTATCATCTGCAAACATACATTTCCTACCAAACCTTAATGAACCATTGTACGTAAGAACTAAACAATTTAAAATAAGACTGACTGATATAATTCGAATTTTTTTTTTGTTAGAATTAAGGTTAACCAAATCTGATTTTCCTTTCAGATATTCAACATTTTTTCTATATTCTCAATCCTTAGATTTCTAATTTCTGATCTAGTTTTCTTAATAACAGTGTTTCTCAACCCAAAACTCATCGCAGACTGGAAAATATCTGCTTTTTTTACGCAGATCGGTGACAATATTATTTTTAATTGAAAAAAATTCTCTGTTGTAAAAAGAACTGCAATATTAATCTCATATATAAAATATAACCTCAATATTTATATTGTAATATTGTATAGATGCCAACAACCTTGATTTGGTCTGGCAATCGGGAACCAGGAACCTGGTTGCCAGACTGAATCAGTTCCGGTGAGACAATAACTTTAAAAAATTGCAAATGCATAAAATTATGGAAATTCATTAATCATTAAAAACTTTTTAAAAGTAATGAAAAATTAAAAAATGCCATTAACATAATATAAAAATATTAACACAGTTTAATAAAAATGAAACTACTTTGAATGAAAACTTATCGTGAAAGGCGGCTTTCTAAAATATAAAATCTCGACAACCATTCGCCACTTAAAATAATTTTGGTATTATACATACTGTTTATACCTTCTGCGGACCGATTTAAATCGGCAAGAAGAACAAACGCGAGTCTCCGTCGTCAACTCGTTTTCTTTTATTCCATACTGATCGCAGTTGGACTTCGTCAATGGCCGAGACTGTCCAAAGTTTTCAAGTTCAATCTTGCAGACCGCACAAGGATGTACGCCACCGGTTTCACCTAAAAATAAACTTTAATTTATAAAGAAAACTTTTTGGTTTTAAGAAAAATTTACATTAACTCACTCAACATGGAAATTTATTCAAAAAATTGTATTCTTCTATATACTATCTATATCATTATAATCAACAAATACATCTCTAGTTCATCAAAAAATTAGTATTTTAGCATATTTCAATGTTAGGATACTTTCAATATATATTTTAAATTGTATTTGTTTTTCAAAGAATTAAGAAAATTTTATTTTAAATCATAAATTCATTGGGCAAAACTATTACGATATTTATAATATAGGAATTGGTTGTGTTGATATATAACTAATTCCTATATTATAAATAAATTTTGTAAATTAATGTAATGAGTTATTATAAAAAAACTGTATTTTAACAGCTGAATTAAAAACTGAAAATTAATATAAAAAATTTAATTTTAGGCTCAACTCTTGCAATATGCATTATACAACAAAAATATGATCACGTCTCCAGATATAGTTCAAAGTGAAATTTCTACTTATCTAAAACCACACTCTTTTTTCTATTTCTATATATACATATATATTTTTTTATTACTACAGGTATCCTTCATACAATGCAGTTTTGCTGTAACACAGTTTAAGAATTTCGGAAATCCCACATACAAAATTTCACAATTTTTAAGTGCAAATTCCTTTATTCGATATTTTTTTACTCAAGTAATTATGCACGTTATATCAAATTTGCCCACGGATTTTAGAATATTAAAATTTTCGATATGTTTTGTGCCTTTCATCAGGTTTAACGAAAACTGATAGTGCAATTTTTTTCTTCTTTGACCTAGCTCTCTTCACAATCAGGTGGTGCTGTCATTGCTTTCAGTCTTTAGCCTTTAAGACCATCACTGTGTTTTGTTTTTATAGATTAAGCTTCTTATTTGGTAAAGTTTAAATAAACATTTATAGATAAGTGTTATTAATCATTTTAACGAATCAGAAAAAATAATAATTCCTATTATCATAATATTAAAATAGCTATTTTTTAGTAGTTAAATGCACTATTTTTTCATAACTTTAAGCAGAAATAATAAATATTTTATTGAGTGACAAGCAGTGGATAATAAAATAAGACAGAAGATTCTGTTAAAAAGGTAGTTGCTATGCATGCCAAAACTCTGTAAAGAAGGAAAACAGCAGTTACTTGTTACTGATAACTAAATAAATATCACAGGTATGAAATATTAGTTAACATAACTCTGTTGTTGATGTATGAATTAACTTTTCAACTAAGATCATCTAAGATAGCTTTTTTCATATTTACCTAAAAATATTGCATATCTATTACAAAATTCAAATAATCTCAATAAACTAAAGGAAAGTTCTATGGCTTTTACTAGAAATCATCTGTTCTTGTCTTCGCCTAATGATATTTTTTTCTAGTACAATGTAGTGGTTGTCAAATAATGAAATTTTAACAATTCAAACTTTGGTAATTTGAAACAGTGCAAACTTGATGTTTTGCAAAAGTGAAAATAAGGAATACATACCACTGATTTCATTTGGAAGTTCATTATCGTCACTTAATTCATCACCGCCTTCATCTCCTTTGTCCTTTTCTTGTTCAAGAGATTTCTTTTTACTAATAATGCAATAAAATTAAAACAATTACAAAAAAAATTTAATTTTTCACTCAAAATTTTAGTTCTCTTAGAAAAAATTACAAAATTTTCTGATTTTCTGTAAGATTTTGATGAAAATACTGACATAAATGTATCAATTCACTATCTATAATGAATATATTAAAATCATAGAACAACAGACAATTTTTAATATTTTACAAAAAAAATTTTTTTTTTAAATTTCATATACAGCAAGAACCCGCTTAATGCTGATTTGATATAATGCGGTGTGCTCGAAGACTAAAAAAAAAAGCTAAAAATTTACACCAATTCAAATTATCATGGCATTTCATTGAGTTGTATATAATATGATTATTCCCAAACACGAACCAATTGGCAAAAGGTGGCAACTTGTTGTAGCTCTGTACTTTCCTTAAATCTGTGCGATTTTGGAACAAATATATCATCACAAATGCCATAAGCAATATTGACTTGGCTTGGCAAGAATTAACTGATAAGTGCATGAACAGAGTGTGGAAGAAGTTATAGCTGGAGGGATACAAGAATTCTCAACGAGAAGAGCCTATTGCTGTATCATTAGATTGACCAAATTGTCGACCTAATCGATACAGTTAAGACTAGGAGATGTAGATGAGCAAGATATTGAGGAGGTACTGCAGGTTTCTGGTGATGATATTCAAGAACTGGCAGAACATGTAGAACTGGAATAGAGAGATTCTGAAAACAAAGAACCCAAAGAATTTCTATACAGATTTTCTTAGTAAAAGTTTGGTAATGATAACTGAAATCATTGATCAAATCGTAGTGAACGATTCAGACTTTAAAAAAGTGCAAAAGCAAAATGAGGCATTTTGGATGTGATCTCTTGCTACCAACATTTGCTTAAAGAAAGAAAAAAAAATGACAAATGAAACTACATAACTTTATTGCAAAAAACAAGAATTTCAGAAGCTTCATCACAAAAATGAACTTTACATTTCTGTGTGAATATGTTTAGTTGTTATTTAATATATATTATTATTCAAATTAATATAAAATAAATTAAAATTAAAGTAAAATCTGTTTATTTTTTGTGATCTGTTTCCTTTCCCTATTTACTCTGTGTTAAAATGCCGTTTAATGCCGTTTAATGCTCGTTTAATGCCGTTTTGTTTAGCAGTTTGTCGTACAGTAAGACCCCGTGTTAAGCGGGGTCTTACCGTATAATGCAATATTAAGCATTTTTCTAAACATATGAGGTTTTTGCAAATTGCTATTTCTCTTATGATAATAAATAATAAAAATAATAACAATCTAAAATAATTTCTAAAATAAGCAATCTAAAATAAATTGAAGCTGTTCTGTCTAAGTATAGCAGAACAGCTTCTACTGCAGGCATGTCAAAGATAACTTGAGACAATTAGTTGAGGCCTGCAACATCAATTCAATAATGCTATTTGTTTGTTTTTTATCATCTTGGTACCAAAGCAAATGCGATATTAAACAAGTACAAAATATTGCACTTAAATAATACTTAGTAAACAAAATTGTTAAACCTTATTATTATTATGTTGGGTTTAGTGAATTATAGTCGATTAACACCGGTGGCTGTGTATTGTGAAACCAGAGTCAAGGCATAGTAATCAAAACAAAACAAAAATTAAATATGCGTGTCAGTGTGTGTGTGTCTGTATTCAGAAATTTCCTAACAATATGATATGTTTATTATTATTGTTATTAATTATTTGAAGACAGTCCTTCCCAATAGTCCTTTTTGGCGGTCAGTATCCTAAAAAGAAAATGTCAGTCGCCAAGAATGTATTGTCTAAAACACAGAGCTAATAAATGGTGGTTCCTTTTTTAGGGACAACTATGTCTTCAAATAATTAATTATAATTATAGCCATCAGACGAAAATCTACAAAAAATGTTTACTATTATTATTGCTGTTGTTTTTATTTTTACTGTTGTTCTACTGTATTTACTATTTTTATGCAAAATTTATTTCAAACAATTTGCAAATAAAGTAACCCAAAAACGTTTGTGCAAATAAATTTCAAATTCTAAGATTCTGAAGCCATTTGAAACTATGAATTTATTGCATGTATGTGTTATCTAAACAATATTTTGTTTTTTATAAAATCAAAATAATAGTTATAACTCTTGCCACAGTAATAAAAAGAATTATTTTATTTACAATTTGGATATCTTTCCTCCCCTTTTACTAGTTCCACCCCATGGGCATTAAGTGAACCTTATCTGAGGCCATTGTGAATTTGCCAGTTCACAATGGGACAATGGGGTGGCAAGGGGCAGAATCCCAACATGTCTGAAGCAGACCACCGTAAAAAATTCCTGGAATCCTTCAACCAGTCCAAAATCAACTGCATCTCTCTTAAAGCAATAGACCGACATTTTAACTGTCTCGGTTGTCCAGCCAGCCACATTCAAATATTAGAACAGTTTGCATTTATAACAGCATTAATCTTAGTGTTTTCAGTTAAAAAAATAAATATATTTAACTATATAAATTTGGATGTTGGAAGTTAAATTTATTTTCGTAACTCAATATTCTGCATTTTATTGTTAATTTAATTTTTACTGTATTAACAACTTTTATTTTACCTCGTGTCTGCTGTAGTTTCGCCATTTTCAATATTGTTTCTTACTTCAGACTTGGAATTAGCATTATCATCATTCTGGATTTTTGTACTATCAGAATTTATATTTCCATTTGTAGTTATACAGGTAATTGACGAAGACAAATTAGTAACATTGACGTCACTAGTAGTGGTACTGACGGATTCGACAGTTGACGTTGTCGACGCAGATGTGGTGGTAACCGTAACGCTAGTCGTCGTAGTTATAATAGTAGATATAGGTTTTGCTTCATCTTGTTGTCTAGTTGTTATACCAGTCTATTATTTTCATAGAAAAAAAAAATAGGTAAGAGGTTATGCATACTTATAAATATTAAATAGAAAATATGTTTCTTATGTACACTACTAAGCATGTGAACAACTCAACTCAGATAAGCAGACCATCTTTAAAACTGAATTTTTATATATATTTTATTGTTCACTTAAAAAATTTAAATACCTGATTATGATGCGCTTGAGATTGTGGTTTTACTAATGTTCTGGTCCTTTTCCTTACATTATGCTTCCTTAACATCTGTTTGTAATTTTCACTCTTTTTTGTTAGATAGTAGTACTGAACACAATCAGCCACGCTCTGAAAATAATATTTCTGTATCAAAATCCATACTAACTCTAGTTTTGGAATAAATTTAAATAAAAATATCAAGAAATTATATCATATATTTATGTGTAATAAAGAAATAAAAATGTAGAAGTACTTTATAATTTAAAAGATAATTAAATAAATGTATAAAATTTTAAGTGTTTATACTAAATTATCTAAAGTTACCTATTTTGTTGTACTTTAATTCTATATGAAACTTAAATGTTGTCATTATCTAGAAATGATTTTTTATTTACAATTAATTCAAAAAAATTACTCATCACTACATTTTGTATCCAAAATTTAAACATTTGTCATCAGAACCATAATTTGACTTTCAAAAATATTCAGTTTCACGAAAGTAAATTTATTAAAACCAACGATTCAATACATAATAACTATGTGAGAGGCGAATTGCCCCTGTGATTAATTAACAATTTAATTAAAAAGTAAAATTTTAAACGAAAAATACTCTCTGATTTTGGTGGGAAAATTATATTTTTCTAAATGAAAGAAACTTCCTTCAACAGAAGATTGACTTCCTTTTTGTTTTCCCTTATCTACTAAAAATCTTAGTCAACCCCTCGATAAATCTCCTTTTCCTCTGTTCACGTGGAAAGATACAAAATGCTGATTGGAGAAAATTCATGAGAAAGAGAAAGAATTTTGCATGATTCGGGGAGTATGCCAAAAGATAACAGACGTATTCCATATCATCTCCTGAAGGCCAACGCCCAAAATCAAATCCAGAAGTTTTTATAAAATGAGTTAATTCGGTAAATAGAGAAGAAATTATTTAAATATGTGCCATTAAAGAACTAAGAAGAAAGAACAGTCATATTCATCTAAAGAACAGAAGAAGATAAAGATTCATAGAGGTAGTATGATTTATGATAGAAATTGTGAGCTCTCTCTCTTGAAACAGCTTTATTCGAGTTTCTGGAAATCATTTTATTCGCATATTTAATTTTGTATTATTTTGTTCATTAAATCTTTGTTTTATTTGTTAAAGAAATGTCTCTTATGATTCTGAATCAAAACGAAAAGTTCATCTCCATACCATATCGATATGCATGTGAATCCGCATACCATAAAATTGATTAACTGGTGTCATTATCCTGACATTGGATAGAGACTTTGCCATCTATATCCTATCTAATTTTAACAGCCCTCCTAGAAAAAGTTTAGAGATCAAATCTTGCAATTCTGAGTCGTGTAAGTGGTACTCTTGGTTAGTATCCTCGGCTAATCTCACAACTACTTAGTATTTGCATAGGAAATATGTAAATAAATGATTTAACAATGATAAGTTTTAAATTATTATTTCAAACAGATATCAATAATAAATCATTAAAACTTGCTGTTATAACAAAAGTTACACTCCATAATACCAATGCAATTATTCTAATATATGTTTCTAATGAAGTAAACATCGTATAAATACAGACCAGTGCTTTCAGACAAGCTAAAGCAATTTTAAGTATTCAAGAGAATGAGAACATTTCAGAAGTAAAAAAACTAAAAATTTGTGAGAAAAACCCAAAGATTATTATTAATCATTCAGATACGGATATTTTGTTATATGTTTGGAAACAGTTAATAAGAAAAAGAGAATAAAAATTTTTGATTCCTTATATTTAATATTTTGTTGTCTAGATTTAATATAAAATTTAAAAGATACATAGAAAGCATTACTGCAGATTTTGACTGCCTATTATTAAATTTTATAGCATATTTTCCATTTTGCTTCTACAATTTGGTAAAAAGATTGTATGTTTGCTTGTTAATTTGAAAATTGAAGATGGATGAAAAAGATCCAAAAGTTCTTAGTCTGTATTTCTACAATGTTTACTCCATTACAAGCAGATATTAGTGTAACTGTATTATTTTCAAATATATTAAAATTTATTCTATAAACCACGTAATAGAATAATTCAAATAATTTATCAAGTAAAACATCAGCAGTTTAAGATTAATTTCTTTTTGTAAATTTATAGAATATGTTTCAAGTTAATTACTACTTCATTCTGCCAATGGATACATTCTAAGTACTAAATTTAAATTCATCATTTGTATGTTCTATGACAGTTTTTCAGAATATACTTATTAAACTAACACTAAATTCCAAAATAAATTTAAAATTGTGTGAAGTGTGAACTTTTTAAAGTACAGTAACGCACTTAGATAATCTATTGTAAAATCTTAGCCAAATATTTCTCGCACTGCAAGAAAACTGAATAATTTGCAATTAATTAAATGCATTAATAAATACTTTTTACTTAGAAATTTTATATATCAAATTTTGTAATAAATTTTAAGACATAAAACTGGAGAAGGAACTACCATAGTAATAAAAATTTAACTATTTATATTGCAACTTTCTTATTAGTGAAATGTCTACTAAGCTGCTATCTATTTTTAATAACTTATAATACTGGTATGCAAAACTGCATACATTCCTTTTTTTAAATGTATAAAATGTGTATGTAGCTTAAAAAAATGTTAAATTTAATAAAATAACATTCTACATAGAATCCCTAAAAGTACTTTCAAAACATTGTTTATACATAATATAGATCAACATTTAATATGTACAAGATTGTATAAGTTTGAACTAAAAGGTATATTGCCTGCCATTTTAATATAAAATAATGAATGCTTTTAATATTATTAATAAATTTCATTACTTTTCTCTCAAGGTAAGTTGCTATCAGACCGAAATTCTTCGAATGTTGTAAATATTTTTCACGGAAAATTTCTTTTTCCTGATCGGTCCATATATTTAGCATCTGTCTTTCTTTATATTCTGCCATTGGATCTTCCACTAAACCATTTCTATTTATAAACTGAAGTCTTTGCTGTTTCGAGTCTAATAGAATAGGTGGAATAACAGCATAACTTCTCATCTTTTTATCTTCCATCTAAAAATTAAAATACTAGATTAATCATTTTTACATATTATTCTAAACTAATATTAATTTATTATGTCTAGTGTTTGTATATTATGAATTATTTTAATTTCAATTAATTACAAATTTCTAAAAGTATCACTATTTAAAATTTATCCACTTCTTGTATTTTTATGCAAATGCAATCACCTATATATCAGTATACAAGTAAACAAAAACAAAATTAGCTTAAATGCTCAGCATTTTTGATCATCTTCGGGGCAACGGAAAGAATAATTTTCTTTTCATCACCTGAAGATGATCCATTAAAGAAACTGGAAATGTTATGCATTTAAGCTACTTTTATATTATTATTTATAGAACATATATATTAATTAAGAAGAAACAATTAAGTAACAGCCTCAAGCTAGGAAAAAGTGAATATAAATTTTTAATATTCTCAAACTAAACTAAATAAAATAATCAGATTATTTACAGCAACATTTCATAAAAATCTAATTAAATACAGCCTCTAAATAACCTAACTATCAAGTTTAATACAATACTCTTATATTCTTTAAACATATAACCTTAAACTAGAAAATTAACTAATTAATTTACCTAACATACACCTTAGTTTTTGTTAAAAGTTAAACCCAATAAAAGTTCCATTCTTGTTCACATCACTGAAAATTTAAATGCACATAAATTCTTACTTCTTGTTCTTGTAATCCGTCCATAATTTCTTCTAATTCAGCATCGCTTCTTATTCTTTGACCGACACGAGAAAATCTCTCTTTGTCTTCCCTTTGCTTTTTAAGTTCTGGAAATTGTTTTTCAAAAAATTCTCTGACTTTAGCTTCTTTTGCCCTGGAAGTAAATATATTTACATAAAGGTAAATTCAATATTAAGAATTTCATCCTGGGGAAAAAATTATTATATATATATATATAAACAAAAATTATTAATA